CCGTTCATGTAAATCAATGTGAAATGTCACTCAGATAAAGTCAAGTGAAGTCATCTTTATTTAAGCAGGGTAGCCCCACCAGCCATAGTCTGGTATCAAAGGGGCCCTGCGTAAAATTAAGACTACATGATGAAAAAATTCAGAATTTAAAAATTACCGCAAAGTATTGTACAAGGAGTTTAAAAATTGAATAAAAAGGAAATTACATATCTATGAAGAACAATTTTTCTAGATCAATACAATAAAAGAGAACAATCAAAGTATATCTAAGTATTATATTGGTAGAAAACTAATGGCTAAAATGAAAACTAAGAGAGTTCTTAAAATTGGAAAGCGACGTGGCTTCTTTTACTGATTTGGGTAAATCATTAAAAAGAACCATGCCTGAAAATCTTAAAGTGTTTTTCCCTAGCGCTAACTTAGGGTTCAGTAGACGAATGTTGTTCCTTTGTCTTGTCTTGTAAGTGTGAATAGTACGATTTCTAATAAAATAATCCGATAAATATGGAGCTAAGTCACTTAGACATTTCCACCCTGCAACAACCTACTGCCCAAGGCTTTTCCCTCAGAATTTGGGGGGTGTTTACAGCGTACATCTTTGATATTGAGCATCCATGTTACATTCAGTTGATACCTGTCAAAACAAGGTATCTGCTGACCAGTATCACGTGACCATATTGCGGGCTCATGTTCAGAGCTCATCGAGGTCTTATGTTTTTTTGAAGTTGACCGCCACCCAGGTACAGGTTTTTGATTGGATTGCAGGCTCAAGCCAGGTTCAGGAGCTCTGCTTTTAGGCTTGGCTAAATCTATATATCTTAAGGCAGGTCTGAAACAGGGTAAGTCTTGTTCCAAGCAACGATTTGTCAACGGTCAAACCAAAATGCAGGTAACCGGGCACTCCCTTTATGGGTTTGACAACTAAAGCACGAGGGAACCCCGGGAGCATTTTGGTTTGACCGTTGACAAATCGTTGCTGACTACCCCCGGTCGGGCTAATTATAGTTACCCAACACCGCGAAAGTGTCCTAACTTTTGTGACGAGGCTGTTTTCAAGTTTGCGAGCGAAGCAATCTCGAAATAAATGTGTCGTTGCGAAGGCGTTGTGGAAGGAATCGCGTAGCAAGTGAACTGACATGGAACTTCAACATCTGTTCTTCGATTCTACGGAGGAATTGAGCCGGCAGGGTTATTTTCAGTGGATTTATTTGCTTCGAGCGGCGGGCACTCCGGAAATCA